AACCTCGGCGTTTCCCGCGGGGCAAGGGGCGGGCCTTGGGTCTGTGGGTGGGGCCTGCGTGGAGCCTTGAGTTTAAGTCGAGGCTTAGGATGGAAACTTGGATCGGCGTGCTCAGCCTTGGGCCCGAGGCAGAGCTGTCGGCCTGGTCGTGGGGCCTGACGGGCGCGACTGGACTCTCTGGGGAGGGCCTGGGGTGGCTCTTGGAGTGGGGCGGAGCCTGGGCAGAGGCCCTGGGCTGTGGGCGGGGCCTAGGAGAGGCGCTTCGGTCTGGAAGCTGAGACCCGATGAGAACCTTGACTCTGTCAGTGGAACCAAGGTGTTTCTTCGGTCTTTTCGTCGGGCCTGAATTTGGACCTGGGCACAGATGGGCAGTTTCACTCGGGCTGGAAGTGGGGGTCAGGCTAGGGGCGGAGTCTGGGGACGTGACATTGTCCCCCGCCAGGTGGAGCACCCGTACAAGTCCAAGAAGGCCGTGTGGCACAAGCTCTTGTCCAAGCAGCGTCGGAGGGCGGTCGTTGCCTGCTTCCGCATGACCCCCCTGTACAACCTGCCCACGTAAGACCCCCGGGCGGAGGGCGCTAACCTCGGAGAAGGGGTGGCTGAGAGGGCAGGAGGATGGAGTGCGAATGTTGGCGGAGGCACATTCGTGGGAGGTCAGGCAGCAGAGGACAGAAGGTCCCGCTGTCACCCCACACCTTTCCCTTGCAGGCACCGGGCATGTAACATGTTCCTGGAGAGGTACAAGGCCACCTGGATCCTGACTGAAGACCACAGTTTTGAGGACCGCATGATAGATGACCTTTCAGTGAGCTGGGGCCTGCCTGGGGGTGTGGGGGCAGACCTGGATAGGGCTGGGGCTGAGGCTGCCTGTTGCACACCTCCAGGGGTCACCCTTCACATTGAGGGGTATAAGAAAGGTGGCCTCTGGCTTGGGCAGAACCGGGGGTGGGGGGGCTGCAGGATGTGGGGCATGTGAGAGAAAAAAATCCAGCCCATCAGGGCTATGGGGGAGACAGGAGGGGATACTCTAGAAGTCCCTCCCCCAAGCCCCACACGTCCCCCCAGAAAGCTGGGGAGCAGGAGGAAGAAGAGGAAGAAGTGGAGGAAAAGAAGCCAGACCCCCTGCACCAACTGGTCCTGCACTTTAGCCGCACTGCCTTGACTGAAAAGAGGTGAGGACCCTTCCTAGGTCTTGGGAAATGAGCCCACCACCTCCCTGCCCCCAGCAACCTCCCTGTTCCTTGAGAGACCCTCTGTGTCCTAAGGGAGCCCCGAGGCTGATCTTTCAACGTCACTTTACTAGAACAGGCAGGGCCACCATGTACCCTTGTGCAGGCAGAGCACTTAACAAGTGCATCTCTGAAGGTTTCACATCACAGGCAATACCAATTTTGACTTTTCTAGAAGAAAGTGTCTTGCTCAAACAAAACCAGTTTATTATAGGAACAAACCAGTAAATTATGACAAATCTCCAACAGAGGGAAGTGTGGAAGGGGGCCCTTTTTCTAATTCACACAAAGGCTTCATATGGGATAATGACAGTCTTGGGAATAAATAACAGTAGTAATGGTGCTGCTGCTAACAGGTGACATTTATCAAGTGCTTATTATTTGTCAGGCACCACGCTAAGCACCTGACATCTATGTTCTCTCACTCAATCTTCATACTATGAGATAGACACTATTACCCACTCCTTTTTGGGGACAATGAAATGGTAGCACAGGGATTTATTTTTCTCACATAACATGAAGTCAGGAGGCAGTGACACAGTGACAGTCACAGGGTCATTCAGGCTGACAGGCTTGCTCAAGCTTTCTGAGCAATTCTGAGCTTTTGTCTTGTGTCATAAGATGGATGCTGAACTTCCAGACATGACACATGCCAGGCAGAAAGAAGGGGAGAGAATTTTTTTTTCCCCTCTAAGCAAGACCAAGATCTTTTTATGCAAGAGAAGCCCTCCTTGGTGGGCTTCTGTACATATCTCATTGTCCAGAATTCTGATATCAGGCCATCACTAGCTGCAAAGGAGGCTGGGAAGTTGAGTGTCCTGGAAAAGCAATGACTCTGGAATTAGACTATCCAGGTTTGAATCCCAGTAGTAGCTGTGTGACCTTGGCCAAAAAGGATCTTTGTGCCTCAGTTTCCTTGCTGGTAAAATGAGCCTCGTAATATACCTACCTAATAGGATTATTGTGAGAATTAATTTATATATATAACTTAGAACAGGGACTAACATAGGGTAAACATTTAATAGGTCTTGGCCATTATTATTATTATTGTGAAGCCCAAGGACAGGGTGGTTGGTTATAGTTGTCAGGGTGACAAGATGGACCCAGAAACTCCAGGCTCCCATCACACCATTTTAGCCACCCCAGTGGAAAGGGAGCAACTCTACCAATAGCTTCAGCAAAATTCCCCAAATGAGATTCACTGGACCATCTCTGACCTGCTCTTGTTGCCAAGCAGGTAGAAAGTACTGATTGGCTCAGCCTTCATCACAGGCCCACTCTGGCATGGACAGTTTGCCCTGTGTGAACCACACAGGCTGAGCATGGGGAGGGGTGGCTTTCCAAAGGAAAACTGGAAGCTGCTATAAGATGGGGGTCCTCTCCGTTGGGTCCTGACTATCTCCCTGATTACTTCTTTAGCAAACTGGATGAAGATTACCTATACATGGCATATGCTGATATCATGGCAAAGGTGAGGCCCTGTCCCCATCCCTGGCAGGTTCCCTTCTCCTCAGTTGCAATGCCTGTCCACTGAAAGGACTGGGGGTGGGCAGAGGTATCTCCTCTGTTCCCCACCATTACTAACTGATGCCCCATCTCCAGAGCTGTCACCTGGAGGAGGGAGGGGAGAACGGCGAAGCTGAAGAAGAGGTTGAGGTTTCATTTGAGGTAGGTGGGATCAGGAGGTCTGGAGGAAAGGGATGGGAGGCCCTGACTTCAGTCATCCCCATTCATTCAGCATGCATTCATAGAGCAGTGCTCTGGGCCAGGCCCTGTGCTGGGTGATGTTGGGGACACAGCAGTGACCAAGTCAGTCCACTAGGAAGACAGAAGCATCAACCAGACAGTAACAGCACAGAGTATTCACGGTGGTGATGAGGGAAGCTCAGGCAGGGGGGTCAGGGCTTGGGAAGCCAGAGCAGCTCAGGGCACCAGGGGGAAGTTCAGGGGGCTGTGGTGGCCCAGGCAAGGTGCCTGACCCAGCCAGAGTTGAAGGGTGGCAGAGAGGGCCTCTCAGAGGAAGGGATGTCTGAGTAGGAGTATGCCAAGTGAAGAGAAGAAAGGCGTTTCAGGTAAGGAAACAGCATTTGCAAAGGCCACACAGTGAGGAAGATCTAGTAAATGTGCAATTAACCCATCCGCTCATCATTAAGGCAATCAGCAAGCATTTCCCTGAGTTTCTTAACCTTTTTTTGTGCCAGGGTTCCTTCTGTATCTGGTGAAACCTTTCTCACAATTATGTTTTTAAATGTATAAAATGAATTCATAACAGAGGAAATAAGCATATTGAAATAGTTATCAAAATTTTGTTTTTAAAATTTGTGATACAGTAATATCTGTGCTTTTTAAATCTATCCAATAAGATCTAACAGTGGGTCCAGTAGCTACTGTAAGAGATGAGTAGTGAATATAAACAATATTTTGAGATGTTTACAAAAATGTGACATCTGTGATTCTTATTGATGATACAGCCACGGGTTCTGCTAATATCGCTGATTTATGGCCTCATCTGTAATGGGAAGAAATGCTACATTTCAGTTAGAGGGTGGTAAATATAACATTTTTCTTCATTCAAGTTCACAGACCTCCTGGATTTTATCCATTGACCCCTTGGCTGTCTGTGGGCTCAGGTTAAGATTGCGCCATGCTCAGCCCTGCACTAGGTGCCAGAGACAAATGGCAGACTTCAGTCCCAAGGGATAGAGGAGGTTTAGGAGTTGAAGGAATGAACCAGTGGCTGGAGCAGGGATCACAGGGGTGAGGGACAGGGCTGTGAGGGGAAAAGGCTGGGCTGGTGAGCCTGAACTCACTCGGCACCACGGGCCTGGCTCTGCCCCAGGAGAAAGAGATGGAGAAGCAGAGGCTCCTGTACCAGCAGGCGAGGCTGCACAACCGAGGGGCTGCGGAGATGGTGCTGCAGATGATCAGTGCCTGCAAAGGTGCCCTCCACAAGCATCTGGCTCTCCTGAGCACACTCATCCTGTCTTCAGTCTCCCCAGCCCACCCATTTCCTGTGGGCCCTGTGGCACACTCCCACCCCTGCATGCCTGTGGTTTGCACACACCCCAGCCCTTGCATGTTCCAATTGTCTTGTGATTTCTCACTCATCCTTCGGGCACGATCACATTCACACATTCCTCCAACCCCTTCTCTCACATACCCTGCAATGGCTGCTTTCTGGTGGATGGAGAACACCGATCCCAAACTGGGTAGACCATCTTTTGTCCCCTGCCCCCTCCAGGAGAGACGGGAGCCATGGTGTCCTCCACCCTGAAGCTGGGCATCTCCATCCTAAATGGGGGCAATGCTGATGTGCAGCAGGTAGTAGTCGAAGGGATTTGGGAGGAGGGCTAAGAGGGTGGGAGGTTCCTGTGTGACTAAATGGCTATGCCCTGAACCTGCAGAAAATGCTGGATTATCTGAAGGACAAGAAGGAAGTTGGCTTCTTCCAGAGTATCCAGGCGCTGATGCAGACATGCAGGTAGGCTCTAGTGCCCATCTTTTAGTGAAACTGGTATGCTGTGGCCCTACACCCGCTACCACTTCCAGTTCTAGTTCCACTCTCTTGGTTCCAGGAACAGAGACCCATTCAGACTAGCTCAGATGACAGGGAGTTTATTATAAGAATTCATGTGCAACAGTAAGGAAGGCAAAATGCAGCCCTTATGGATCCAGGCAGCTGGAACTGGAAGGCTGTTGAGAACGGAAGGGGCACCCAGCAGCAGGGAATCGGGTTCTCTCTGATGACCCCTATTAATGTGACTCTGTGACTGTCTGCCTTTGCCTCCCTCTCGCTGTTGACCCCTCTGAAGCTTTTGCTAACTGATGGTTTCTGTACCCCCCCGATTTCAACTTGTACATATTTCACCCTTGCCCTGCGTTACTTCACAGCTGCCACCGCATAGCTTCTGCCAGCTTAGTTCTTGCTTCCTCTCGCCCTCTCACTCGTGGTTTCCCACGGCTCTCCACCTGCCACCGTGGGGGGCCGCAGGGCTCTGGAAGGGGGCCTCAGCATATCTTCCCATCTTTCCTTGCTTCTCCTCAGCGTCCTGGATCTCAATGCATTCGAGAGACAGAACAAGGCGGAAGGCCTGGGCATGGTGAACGAGGACGGGACCGGTGAGGCCCCCACTTGGGCTCCCCTCTCCATGGGGTTTCTTCCTTCAGGATCTGCCCCTCCCCCAATACTGCCCACAGCTCCTTCCCCCAAGACACCCTTCCCCAAGAGCATCCCCAGGTCCCCCCTTCCCGTGCAATGGTTCCCAGTCCTGCCCCTCCCCCATTCCTCCAGGGTTTCCCTCCCCATGGTCCCCACCCCTGGGTGCCCTTGTGTCCTGTACTCTCTCATCCATCCACCACATGGACCCCGCCTTCCACAAGCCCCAAGTCTCCCACCCTGGTTGCTGTTCTCTCATTAATGTCCCTAATCCGGGTTAATCAAGTCTCCTCTTTGCTGTGTTGTGATGTGTTTAACCTTTCTGCCCTGATCCTTGCCTCCTGCCTCTCCACCTCTACCTGTCCCTCTCTCTTTCTCTTCCCTCTTCTTTCTTTCCCAATGCTCTTACCGTCACTTCCTACTCTCTTCCTGGCTTCCTTCTGTCTCCTTATCGCTCTTTCTGTGTGGGTTGTACCCTTCTCCACGTCTGTGTCTTCGTCCCGGACCGTGTGTCACTGTGTGTGTTTCTGTCTCTGTCTCCTTCTGTCCCTTTTTCCCTCTTTTCTCCTGCTTCCTCCTCCCATCCTGTTGGCTGCCCCAGTCATCAACCGCCAGAACGGTAATTCCCCCAGCCTATTCCCCGTGCTGTGCTACTCTGCCCCCCCCTTCTAACCCCCACCTGGGGGCTGAGGATCTGGGACATTCAGGGAGGAAGAAATTCTTTTGTGGGTCACTGTGCCCGCGGAAATCTTGAGATCAGGGTGCACAGACCAAGATTCTGGTCCCAGATTAGCCACTAAGAACACCTGGGACTATGAACCATTCGCTTACCTTCCGTTGGCCTTAGTTTCCCTGTATATAAAGTAGGAGCTAGAGCAAATGGCAAAGGTCCCTTTCCAGATGGATGTTCTCGGGTTTCCAGACCCAGATTCGCAGTCCCCGGGTGGGGTGACCCCCATTCCCACCCACCCTGCTCCCTGACCCCGCATTGGTGGGGCCCGCAGTTCCCATCCACCGAGCCGAACGGTTGCCCCCGGCTCCCAGGGGCTTGGTGTGCGCGCGTGCGCGCCTGCTCTGCGCCTGCTCTGGTTGGCCCATTCCCCGTCCAGCCTCCCTCTCTCTTTCCTCTCCTGTGTCCCTCCTGGATGGGCTTCGTTCAGATGCCCTTGGTGATTGGCCCCTGTTCACACACACTCCCTGCTCCTCCTGGATTGGCTGTTTTCAAGGCATCTGAGCCAATTGGCTGGCTTTCGATCCTATCCCTCCCTGCTCAGAGCCTTTGCATGAAAGTGACCCCAGCCCCCATAATCCATTAACCCCACGGTCCTGGAGGAGTGCTGAGGGAGGTGCTGTTTGAATCTTTGCTGGATCAAGCAGACACTCCCGGATGGCACAAAAGTGGTGACATCAGAGGGACACTGATGTTGTAGGAAGACACTCAAGGTCCCAACTTCATGACTCAGGGCCCCTCAGGTCTCCATCAGCTGTCCCGGATTCTGAAATCGGGACCCCCTGGTGTCATGGATGTCTGTGGCCTTTACAGTGTCTTTGAAGTGGTGGCTGCTCCTCCCCGCACCCCTATGCTTTGTGCATGCGTGTGCAGTGTGCATGGGCCGTGTGCGAGTGTGCTTTGTTCTGGCCCACCTGACCCCTTCTGGGCTCTGCCCCTTTTTCTACCCAGGAGAGAAGGTCATGGCAGATGATGAATTCACCCAAGACCTGTTCCGATTTCTGCAATTGCTCTGTGAGGGGCATAATAATGGTGAGAAGGAGAGGTGGGTGGAGAGGGAAGGAGGCTAAGGTTTGGGGACAGTCTGGAAGAGTTGCCTGAGTTCGTCTCCAGTTCCCTCCTCCCCTTATCAATGATGGCCTCACCATCCATCCTTGATCCCATTGTCTATCCTTTACTTTCAGCCAGGGTCGAACCCAATGCACCCACCTTCCTAAATCTCTCTTGAATTTCTGGAGTCTAACCATTTTGCTGTACTTTCACTTCCTCCGGCCAACCCAAGTCTCCAAAAGCAATCTACCAGAAGCCAATTTGGCCAGAAATCAATTTGCCCAAATGAGCAATTAGCCACATGCCATTTTTCCACAGGCATTTTGAAGTTGAGTAAATGTGGTGGATTTCCATATTTTGGGTCTGTAGAGGAGGAAAAAAAACCACATGGCATTTTTCAATGCATCTATAGAATCACTTACTAATTTGCTTATAAAGATACTTTGCCAGGAGGAATGACTACAGGTTCTTTCCTAACTTAAGCAAGAGTTTTCACATTTGTTCTGGTTCAGGCAATTTAACCAGATCAAGGATGACCGGCAAGTTAATTAAACTCATAGTTGGTGACAAAATATAACCCCTTGTGGCACATTCAGCTTATAACACTAAAGGAACAGCCCAAATTCTGTCCAACAAACATTCTACCCAATGCCATTTCAGTCTCAGGGTTGCGGCTGTAATGCTTAGCAGGTGATTATGAAACCACAGACTGCCCAGAAATTAGCCTTCTTGACAAGAATGGGAGTAATTATAAATCTAACTTCTGTAGAACCTGTGCCCACTTGGCTAGTGTTCTCTAAGGTAACTGATTTATAAATATCTCTAATCTTCATTCTATTTAAAGATCTATTGCTTTACATTCTCAAAAGCTCTTATGTCCACAACTCATTACTCTTCAATGCTTAATAAATACCCTTCTGCCACATAACTAGGGTTCCCTTTCTTTAATTTCAGCCAAAGTAGAATCACTCTTTGGGATTTAAAATGAGTTTTATTCCCTGGGTCTGTGACTTTTTGGAAATGAGAATGTTCTTAATGGGGGGGATTTCTCTCTCCCAGCAAATCTGTGATCTGCCTAAGTTCTTGGATTCATTAACCAGCCCAATCAAATATGTATTTGAAATATATTTCAATCTCAGATGCCTTGCATGTCTTGAGTACTCAATACAATTCACGCAAATGAATTGTACTTGCTCAAGTCTATGAGAGTATTCTCAGCTGATAGAGTTCTTTACAAGACTGGAGAGCTGTATATCTAACCATTTAGGCATATAGTCCGATTTCAATGAACACAAAGGAGTTAGCCAACAGGGTTGATGAGAAAACCTGTATATTTGCTTATAAAATTGTGAACATTTGAGTATACTTTATCTATAATGTGAAACCAGGCAAAATGGATATTTAGCCTGACACAGTGATTGTGAAGTGGCTATGGGGAAGTCGGGGAAAGTGAGACTTGTGTGTGTGGGGGTGCTTTCAAGGGCCATTAAAGCCATCCTGTGCAACATGACATTGCTATAAACATTAAAAGGGCTTCACTGAAACCCATGTTTGTTGCCTTGATAATCTGATGATTTGATCATTTGGCGAATGGGTGGTTCTCAAACTTAAGCATGACCGAGAATCACCTGGAGGCTTTGTTAAAATACAGACTCCTGGGTCTCGCCCCAGGATTTCTAATTTAGTAGCTCTGGGGTGGAGCCCAGGAGTGTGCATTTCTAACAGGGTCCCAGGAGATGCTGCTGATTTGGGGCCACACTTTGAGAATCACTGCTCCAGAGTGTAGCTCTTAACCTTGGCACTTTCTTTAAAGCCCTTTAAGAACAGCTAACATTCATTGAGCACGTATGTACCAGGTGCTGTCCTAAATCCTTTATGTATGCTAATGTATTAAAACCACAGACAGCTCTATAGAGTCTATTGTGACCACCGTGTTACCTATGAGAATCAGGCAAGTCTGTACTACACAGAGGGGTTCAATAACTTGCTCAAGGTCACACAGCTGGGAATTCATGCAGCCAACACCTACTTATCTTTCAGGTCTCAGCTCAGAGGTCCCCTCCTCCAGCCTTCCTTGACTACCCGGCTGGGTCAGGCAGCTCCTCTGGGCCCCTGCAGTCCCTCTGAGTTTCCCCCATCACAACCCTGATCATTCTGCCCAGTATTCCCCACCAACACTCCTGCCACCAATGAACAGTGTATTATTATTATTACCACATTTAAGTAGAGAGAATGGTCTAATAAACTCCCAAGTACCCATGATCACTCTGTTTTAATAGTTATAAACTTTCTGCCATTGAACAATGTTTTTCAAATAGTGGGAACCAACTCACCAGAGGGTCATGAATCAGTTTATCATAGAGGTTCTCATCCTAATTGCACATTGGTATGCCTGGGAAGCCTTAAAAGGTACTAAAGCCCAGGTTTCACCCCCCAGATTCTAATTTAATTGGTCTAGGGTGGGGACTGAGTAGTGGGATGTTTAAAAATGCCTCCAGGTGATTCTAATGTGCAGCCAAAGTTGAGAGGTTGAAAACTACAGATTTAGTGGGTTGAGATCAGAATCCTTATAGTTAATGAGAGAAAATACCAGGCTGCATGGCACACAGTAAGGGTATGTGAAACTTCTGTGTCAAGTATATGTGGATGTAATTTCAGATTAAACACATGTACTGGGTCTCCATGTAAAATGGGTTTCCTACCATAGATTGCAGTTAGAAAAGAATGAAAATTACTACATGAGATTATGAACATCACAAGGGCAGGGATTTTGTTTTCTTTTACCGCTGTATCCCAAGGGTCTAGAACGGTGCCTGGCACATAGTAAATGCTGAATAAATTTGTCATACCAAAGAATAAGTGGCGAATCTTCATCTCCCATTAGCATACAGTATATGATCAATAAATATATAATGAATAAATGAACAAAGAAATGACAGATGTTTATCTCTTCTGGCTTTTGGTAGGTGCTCAATAAATATTTGTTGGATAAATAAATACACAAAAAACCAATCTCCATTTACCCTGCTACACTGTAGGTGCTTCAGAACCATATTTTGGAAAGTAATCAATGAATAAGTGACTGACCCTTTACCACATCTTGCATGTAGTAGGCCCTCAATAAATATTTATTACATAAATGAATAAATGATCCTCCATCTTCCTCAATCACAGAGTAGGTACTTGATAAAGAGTTATTACATTAATGATTATATGCCTTCCGTCATACAACAGGCACTCTATTTAAACACTTACTGCATTAATGAATAAATGACCCACTGTCCACCTCCCGTAGCACAGGGTAGCTTCTCAATGAATGTTCATTTCCTAGATTTCCAAAACTACCTACGGACACAGACAGGGAACACGACCACTATTAACATCATCATCTGTACGGTGGACTACCTCCTGCGGCTCCAGGTGAGGATGTGAGGCTGTGCAAGGTGTGACCTGGACCGGGGACTGGGGCCGTCGTTGGCCCAGCACCCCCTCACCTCCTGTCGACCCCCCAGGAGTCCATCAGCGACTTCTACTGGTACTACTCCGGCAAGGATGTCATCGAGGAGCAGGGCAAGAGGAACTTCTCCAAGGCCATGTCGGTGGCGAAACAGGTGTTCAACAGCCTCACCGAGTACATACAGGTAGGGCCCGCCCTCTGCGGGGGGTGGGGTGGGGTGGGGCAGCCCGCGCCGCGCAGGCGCTCAGGCTGCGCTCCGGCTCTGCCCGCAGGGCCCCTGCACCGGGAACCAGCAGAGCCTGGCGCACAGCCGCCTCTGGGACGCCGTGGTGGGATTCCTGCACGTGTTTGCCCACATGATGATGAAGCTAGCTCAGGTTCGGGCGCCTCAGTTTTACTCCCGGCTGCTTCAGGGCACCCCCATCCGGCCCGTCCCCAAGTCCTGCCCCTCCGCTCCCTTTCTCACCCAAGTGCTCCCGGCATGTTCCAGACCGGTCCCCTCCCCGAGGCCAAATCCATCTTCCTTCTGGATTGGCGCTCTCTGCATGACCCCGCCTCCGCCTTTGCCCACCACCAATCGGCTGGCTTCCCATCCACACTTCCATTAGTCTGGTGTTTGGGCCCGCCCCCCGGCCCGGAGCTCGTCTATGATTGGTTGGTGTTCTTTCCTCTCTGATGAGGTCATCAAATTCAAACAGCCCCAGGGATAGGATGCCCGCAGGCTTCTAAGTGAGGGCCTGGGGCTGGAGGAGTTCTCCTGGCTGTAAGGTCCGTCTCCCAACTCTAGAACCTTCGTGCTCCCCTTTTCCCACCACTCCCNATGCCCGCAGGCTTCTAAGTGAGGGCCTGGGGCTGGAGGAGTTCTCCTGGCTGTAAGGTCCGTCTCCCAACTCTAGAACCTTTTCCCACCACTCCTTCCCCTTTGCGGCCTAGTCAGTGTCTGACGAACACCACCTGCATTTGCTCTGCTTCTGTCTGAACAGGCTGCCATAAGTGAACACTGCACCAGGGCGCAGTGTCTGAAGGGGAACCACTCACATCCTAGACATCATACATACATCCGTGTATTAATTACCATAATTTTCCAGCAGATGGCAGTAAAGTGTTCTGTATATTATTTCCCAACGGGAAGAGTCTTCTAATTTACTCAAAGGTGCCACAGGGGCTGGCAGAGACCCTGTATGGTGTCATCCAACTTTTAGAAAGGAGTTAATTTAGGAATGCAATTGCTGAGTGCAATTGAAATCGAATGTTGGTGTAATCTTAAGATTCAAGAGACAGTTGGAATCATAGCATAGTTTTAGACCCCGAAGAATTTATTCATCAGCCATGGTCTAGGTTAGGTTGCAAAGGCCAGACATCCAATGCAAAGTGGTGGTTTATGGGGAAGGGGCGGGGAATGATCAGTTCACATCACAGTTTCAGGGCTTAAAGTGATGTCAGCAGAAATGTCTCTCTCCTGTCTGGCTTCATTCTCAAGCAGGCTTTCCCCAGGGGTTGGAAAAATGGTGCCCTATGCTTTCAAGCACCCCACTAACAGCTCCAGAGGGAAGAGAACCCCTTTTTCACAGGCGCTCCAGGGAAAGACCATCAGTTCTTTCTGATTGGGTTATTGGGTCACATGCCTATCCTGAGCCAATCATGGGGGCCAGGAGAAAGAAGTCTTTGATTGGCCAGACCTGGTCATATACTCACCCCTAGAACCAAGAAGGTGGGTTTAGCCTCACTTGCTCTGAAAGTGGAATTAAGAGAAACCATNATTGGCCAGACCTGGTCATATACTCACCCCTAGAACCAAGAAGGTGGGTTTAACCTCACTTGCTCTGAAAGTGGAATTAAGAGAAGCCAGGGCTGGATTCTGGGCAGGCATATGCCACAGGCACCCACCCATCTCAGGGACTCGCAATCCTGGAATGTTAGAATCTTAGAGTCAGAATGCAGAGCTTTGGAATTGTGGAGATGTGTTAGGATTAGAATCAGCAGCTCCAGAACTAGCATTGGGTAGAAGGAGCCTTGAGTCCCATTTCTCTGCTATCCTTTCCCCTCCTCCGTTTTATTAGGTAGAACCATATGAAATTACTACTTTGTGGGTCAAAACGGTCGAATATTGGCAATTTTATATAGCTCAACCTAATACAAATATGGGCCAGGAGGCAGAATTTTGACCATGTTGGAAGCTTTTCTGGACCTTACATGAGGCACTGTGACAGGGGAGGCAGTATGTCCCCACATTTTCCCAAATGTCTTGCCAGAAAGGTTGTGCCTTCCATCCTTCTTCCTGAACCCAGAGTCCCACTTTTTCCATCACACATTCATTCACCAACCATGTGCCTTGCACCCATCATGGCCAGGCACAATGCTGAGCTCCTTCCCAGATCTGTGTCTCTGACCCAGCATTTGCCCGTCTGCCTCTGTCTGTCTCAGCCCCAAGCGTCTACTCTGCAAGCCCCATACTCCTCCCAGTCCTTGTCTGCCAGCCCTTGCCCCTACACATCACCTGTTGGGCCTGCTCCCCCCAAATGCAAACCCCATCCCCACACTTTTGTCTCTCTACCCCCTTCCCCTGCTTCCGAGGAACATGTCTGGACTCGGGTTCCCTCGGAGGTAAGAGGGGAGGAAAAAGAGGTCTTAGGCCCTGCTGGGTGGTGAGGAGCAGAAGCAGCTGGAGAGGGGGCAGTGTCTCTGCAGAGACCAGTCCTCACATAGCTGTGATGTGGGGTCTCTAGGACTCGAGCCAAATTGAACTGTTGAAGGAGCTGCTGGATCTACAGAAGGACATGGTGGTGATGTTGCTGTCACTACTAGAAGGTAAACACCTTCTGGGTGGGGGGAAGGGAAGGGTACAAAGGTGCAGACAAACCTGAGAATGGACCTTTGAGGCCCAGGATATCCTAACCTTCAACCCATCTCATATCATGTCAATATCAATGGGTTGATGAAGAATTCACATTAACAAACTTAGCACTTATTGAGAACTTATGTGCCAAGCCCTGACTGTGCATATATTAGTTTATTGAATCCCCAGAAAAATCTTAATAAGGTAGGTGGTATCTGTCACTTGCCATTAGCTTTTGCCATCGTTATCTTTATTAATGACTCCTTCAGCTATCCAGGAGGTGGACAAAGACAGCATCTGCCAGGTTCACGCATGATGCTGATTCAGATCAGGAAGTGACCCATGCCCTTTGAGGGGAGGCTTGGGTGCTGGCCAGGGAAGCTTCCACCAGAACAGTGGGTCCTGGGGAGCCATGGGTAGCTCTTGAGCTGGAGAGGGAGGCAAGCCATGGGACTCCAGAAAGGAGGCTCTGCTGGGCCGCACTGACCTGGGGCTGCCTACAGGGAACGTGGTGAACGGCATGATTGCCCGGCAGATGGTGGACATGCTGGTGGAATCCTCATCCAATGTGGAGATGATCCTCAAATTCTTTGACATGTTCCTGAAACTCAAGGACATCGTGGGCTCAGAGGCCTTCCAGGACTATGTCACTGATCCCCGTGGCCTCATTTCCAAGAAGGACTTCCAGAAGGTGAGTGCTGGAAGGTAGCTGGGAGTGGGTACCAAGTGCCAGTCACTTCCCNTTTCCAAGAAGGACTTCCAGAAGGTGAGTGCTGGAAGGTAGCTGGGAGTGGGTACCAAGTGCCAGTCATACACTTCCAGGCTGCCTGCCGTGGGCAAGACACTTCTCTGTGAGCCTCAGTTTCCTTATCTGTGAAATGGGATAAAACAGCCCTTGGGGTTGTTTTCAAGGTGAAATGCATTAACACAAATGAGAAACATTACTTCTATTATTATTAATAGTTATAATATTATTATTAATATTATTATAATAAATAGAGATCAGTTATTTAGTTGATAAGCATCTACTGGGTTTCTCCTCTGTACCACAGATACAGCAGTGACTGAGATAGACACAACCCTGCCTTCATGAAGGTAATAGTCTAATGACAGAGGCAGTCACCAGTGGCCATGGCAGGTCTAAATAATGAGGCTGTTAGGAGGGAAATGCAGGCACCAGCTTCATTCAGGAGCCTGCTCACCTGCCTCTGTCAATCTCTCCACCCCAGCTTTACCCTCTCTCTCCCTATGTAACCCCAGCTTGTCTGCTCTGAGCCTCAGTCTCCTCCTCTGTGAAATGGGGCCAGGATAATAACATTCACTATCTGACAGGACTGCAGGGAGGGTGGGCAGTGCCTGAAACACAGGAGCACTCAAGAGCTGTAAGCTACTATTTTTACAGGCATGCCCTGGAGATAATGCAGGTTTGGTTCCAGACCATAGCAATAAAACTAATATCGCAATAAAGCGAGTCACAAATTTTTTGGTTTCCCAGTGCATATAAAAGTTATGTTTACGCTATACTATAGTCTGTTAAGTATACAATAGCATTATGTCTAAAAAACAATGTACCTACCTTGTTTTTAAAACCCTTTGTTGCTAAAACTTGCTAACTATCATCTGAGCCTTCAGCAAGTCATAATCTTTTTGCTGGCACAGGGTCTTACCTTCAACTTGTGGAAAAAACAATACCTGTCAAGCACAGTAAAGTGAGGCATACCTGTACTATTATTGCCACTGGATCATTTCCATCACCATTTTGTTTACTTTTCCTTCTGAAGTAACTTTAAGTTTATAGAGAAGTTACAAGAACAGCCCATCGGATTCCTGAATACCCTTCACCCAGATGCCCACATGTTAACATTTTACCACATCTGCTCTATGATTCCCCTTGACCTCTAAGTACTTTAGTGTGTGTCTCCTGAGAACATGTTCATTCTCTTACACAACCACAGAGCATTTATGCAAACCGGGCAGTTAACACTGACGTAACACTGCTACCTGCAGGGCTTATTCAGTTTTCATTCATCTTTTTCCCCTGTCAAGCGTCCAGTCCAGGATCAGGGACTGCACTGAGGCCTTCTGTCTCTTCAGCCCCCTTCAGTTCGGAACCCTTCCTTGCTCTTTGTCTTGCGTGACCTTGACATTTTTGAAGAACAGAGGCCAGTTGTTTTACACAATGTCAGACAATGTGGTTTGTCTGAGTTTTCATCATAATTCAATTCAGGTTACACATCTTTGGCAGGAATATCATAGAAGTGATGTGTCTTTCTCTGTGCATTGTATCAGGAGGCACGTGACATTGCTTCTCCCCATTCCTGTTGGTGTCAGCTTGACTCCCTTGGTTAAGGTGGTGCTTCCCAGGGTCTCCACTGTAAAGAGACTATCATTCCTTCAATATCTTGTGAGGACCAGCTTTGAAACTATGGAAATATTGTGCTCACCTTCTGGTGTTAGAACTCATTGATAATTCTTGCCTGAAATGATTATTACTGTGGTAGTTGACATATGGTGGTTTTCCAATGTCATCATTACCTTTACCTTGATTAGGCACCATTTTACCATATGGGAGAGTTTTTTCTTTCTCACCCATTTATTTAGCCATTTATCTATTTATTTATTCATTTATATCAGCATAGACTCACTGCTTCTTTTATTCTAGGAGTTGCAATCAATACTGTTAATCAGCATCTAAATAAGCTCAGGGTGCCCTCAGAGTGGCTCAGTTTGTTGAGCGTTGTTCCGTACACTGAAAGGTCAAGGGTTCGATTCCTGGTCAGGGCATGTACCCAGGTTATAAGTTCATCCCCCATTGGGGTGCATACAGGAGGCAACCAATTGATGTTTCTCTTTCACATTGATGTTTCTCTCTCTGTCTCACTCCCTCTAAAAAAAAAAAAAAAATCAATTAAAA